CTCTACTGCCCTACGTTGATAGGTCTTCCGCTTCTTTCGTGGTCCATTGATGCGAGGGCGAACCATACTTTTCGACGGCCTTCCGTTTTATTTGTGGTGTTGGGCTCCGTTCTTTTAGCTTCCGCCGAAGTAAAATTAGAATGAACCTTATCGTAAGTAATGGAGCCATCTGTATTACAATCGAAGGATCCGATTGGTTGGTTCGTTGGTGACCCTTAGGAGTAAACGTCCCCTAGGACTACGATAATTCGGTATCTTGGTTACGGAGCAGCGGGAATATCTGCTCGTTGCAGATATTGCAGAACTTGCGACTTGTACCCAGAAAAGAAAAGCTCTTGGAGCAGATTTTGCACAATCCTGGGGTCAGGGCTCCCGATTATGGCATTGTTATTTAATGGGAACCCTCTTTAACCATAAATAATGGCATTGGGCAGCTAGTGTCATCACATACATTATGTCATGTACTGAGCACAAACAATAAATAAGAGCATAATGTAAAGCAAACCAACACCATGTTAATAATTAGCGAGTGGCCTCGTCGGCAGTCTGAGCTGACCAATACTCACCATTTTGGCGTAAGAACAGCACCATTTCTAATGTAATAGGCTGCAAGCTGTTGCGCTCTTGCCCGTACGTCGTCCTGGTGTCGCTAAAGAACCTCTCAACAAGGTTAGAAGTAGGTGAAATGCAGCTAAGCAGGTTGTACCGCGGCTGAAATGCTGCTAAACGGCGACGTATTTGTAGACTCGCCACGAATGGTCCTTCGTCTTCACTTTTCTTCGCTTTTGCTGCAGTGCGTGCAGGTTCTTCTACTTCTTCCAGGCAGCGGAAGGGCTGCAGCACTGCCTTATCGGCCCTCGTTAGACTTTGGCTCCCTCCCAAGACACGCACACAGTAACCTGGGCTGGCGTGAAGGTGGCGGGGCGGGGGATCGTGGGAATGACCATAGTAGCTTAGCGAGGGGCTTTGTTCGAGTTGCTCAAATTAAAAAGTGAGGACGTGAGCAAGCTGCTGGCTTAGGAAAGTGAGTGTTTAAGCACAGTAGTGAAAGGTCATGGTTGGTTGTGAGAGGTACATAATGATAAAGAGGCTTTGCTCATAAATCATGTCGGATGATTCCTTAAGCAAATAAATTATTAATAACATCCAGGTAATCAAAGAAATAAATAATTTTATGATTTCATAAGAAATAATTGAAAAGACCATGCCATAATCGGGAGCCCTGCCTGGGGTACAAGCAGCCACCGACAGCTTGTCCTCGTTCTTCAACGACATAATAGATTCTCGGTTGCTGTTCTTGTGTATAGTCCACATCAACTTTTTGACTTGTGCACACTCGAACTTACGCGGATACGACATCCAGTGCAGCGCGATGGCGTTCAGCAGCTCATTCTTGCTCTCATTCAAGTCAAAGAAGCCACGGGCGTACATCTGAACGGTCGATAGAGGGCACTGCACGTACAGTGAGCAGACCGACATGTTGCCACGAGTTACATCGTAACTCGCCAAACTGGGAACCTGTTCAAACCCGACGGAGTATGTGAAGTGATATCCAATTCTCTCTCCATTATATGCCCATTCCACCAGATAAGCGTAAGGTGACGCTTGCTCACTGAGCCAGACCTCCGGGATCATGTGCGTCTTGACTCGTTTTATTCGGGGCCCTATTTTTGCCATGCTTGAGAGCGTTGAGCTGTTCAATGTTGTGCGCCACTAAGGTCTCGGCTAACTCGATTAGCATGGTGTTGTCTTTATCCGTGCATTGTAACGGGCTGTGCATGGGAAAGAATCGGAGTGCCCGTGTCAGCATGCTAATTCTCTCGACGAGACTAGGTTTCTCCTGGTCCGTTTAAGTTATGGCCGTGCTCCGCCTTAGCTGTTTCAGACTTGCCGAGCGGTCTCGTGCATCCAGCCGTTCGTGCTGTAATTCCAGGAATACGAGAGAGTAAGGCGAAGAAAGCGTTTCAGCAGGAGGTGGAGCTCCACTCTCGTGCCAAACTTGACAATGAGGCCGCTTTGGTTTCCATTGAATGCCCGATATATTATATATCGACTCGCAGAATATCCTCTGGCGAGTTTCCAGCACTAATCGGACGTTGGCACATGTACTGTAAACGTGTAGCATCTTTACTGCGTGCTGAGGCGCGACGTTGAGGTAGCTGTTGGAGCCGGACGACGCCGAACTCAAGTATTGATGCATGATGTATCAGCTAAGGCAACGAGTGTTGACGAGAAAGAATGTGGCAGCACTAGTGGCATTTTGCAGTAGCGCTGCTCTGCGTCATCTTGAAGGTTCAGCTTCGACAGGATGGGTCGAAGCTGCAGAGAGCAAGTGCGCAGAAGCAAGCGCCCTGCGTGCAGTTCATAAATCCAAGTAGCTCGATGTTTTTTCTTTTTCATCGCTCTCTGTTAATTCGCTTTTCAACTTTCCTTCCTGAGCTCAACCGCCTCCACGAAGCGTCGGTCTACGCCACCTTCCTCTGTCAAGTCCTTCCTAACAGTAGCCAGTACCCTCATAGTGTCAAGAAATCCAATAAAACCTTAGGACTAAAAATCATTCATATTAATACACAGAAACTACTTCAGGGCCTGTTTGGATCCACCGCAATAATGTAGCGTTCCTTCGTGCTTACTTGGTGAAGTACAGTGACTGTATGCAGACGTGTTTGGCACCATATAGTGAAAGATTGCAAAGCTTGAAATATTTCGACCTTTGAGCTCTTTGCAATTCGTGTGTATTTAAATGCGTTGGCGACCTTTCATAATTTTTCACTTTCTAATAGGGGTTATCACGGTTGGAAAGTATGTTTGACCGGTCGATCAAATCAAATCTTCGCGTCCCGTTTTTTCAACTCAAACCTTCCTTGAAAACCAGCGAAGGTTAGCTATGATTGGTGGAAAACCATGCCAGAAGGTTTTATTTTAATATAGTTCCAGCTTCACGTTTTTGCACAATTTTGACCCTCGCAGTTGACGGATGAAGGATTGACTTTATTGGTTGACCAAACATACTTACTTTTCAACCGTGATAACCGGTAATGATTGAGAACAACGACTTCCTCGAGGCCGACGATGATGAATGTTATTTAGCAGGTGTTGTGGTCCTCGTTGCAGGGTATTATGGAAACGAAAAAGGGGCTTATCTACACCTCGATCCTCACTGGATCTGCTTGGATTGCTGAGGATGTGGAGGACAATACAAAGCGCATATTTAACAGCTATCGCATGTCAAAGCCAGTGTTCAGGCGCTTTTGTATAGCACTGAAAAAAGCAGGTACGACTACGCCGTGGTCTCGTGTTGGTGTAGAGGAATAAGCTGCTGCGTTTCTCTACTGACTATCAAAACACGCTTCAAACAGGGTGCCTTAACCACTTGAGTCCTTAAATGGAAATTGATAGCTGATAGATTAAATAAAAGCTTAATCCAGGCTTCTGCAAGCAATCCCCTCTTGATAGCTCACTACGCATACAGTGGCCTGGGTACGCACCCATCATTTATACCCAGAACCAACTGGACTCACCCTTGCGACAGCGACCAGGCGCTAGAAACGTCAGGGTACGGCATGAGTTGTCATTCCCCCCATGCCAGAATAACCGTCGCTGTCGGATTAACACGGGAAGATCCGACGAGTATAAACTCGATATATAGTCGTTCCGGTGTCAAGTAGGACATTGCCGTTATCGAAAACGGTCTTGATGACAAACGGTCCGTTTAATACGGGATCAGGTTTTTTCATTCCACAAGCTGGAATCCGTAGCATGACAAGAACACCAACGCGGTAGAAGTGTTGCAGTCTCTTCATGTTTTCTCGATCGTTTTCCTGCATGATTGCCATAAACCGTTGGTTGAACAGGAAGTTCCAGCTAGCGAAGTGTAGTTGGCGAGTGATCATTTCTTCTCCAAACAACAACTGTGCTTGTGATCCGCGGAGAACGGAGTGGTAGCTCGCTCGGATTGCAATAGGCCGCGTAATCCAGTGCGACTTCTAGCTGGTCGTACAAATTCGGACGGGCACGGAAGATGTTCATAATCTCCAAGTGCACTCTTTTGCAGATAGCATTTGCCACGGGATGCTTAGTGATGATTCTCTTGCACTTAATTGACAACGAGCAGAGTAGCCCCTGAAACGCACTGCCAGTGGATTTCGTCCCAATATCGTGGATGACGAACTTCAAGCGAGGATATTGGAACAAGCAGACACGCTCGAAGCTTATCGCGGTGGCACTGGATGTCTTGCCGCGCTGGACGTCTATCTCAAGCCAGCGAAATTGTTGTTCAATGGCAGTCAAACAGTAAGAATGTTCCGTAATCGGCCCCAGCAAATCCACATGCACACCTTCAAAGGGTCGATCGGTGCTCGAAAGAGGCGTAAGATGTAAATGTCCGTGGTATTTGCCGCCGTGGAGCTTTGCGCGCTTGCACGTATTTTATGTTTTCACAAATTTGGTCAATGCAGTTTGCATAGGCGCCACCAGAATGTAGCCATCGACTGATATTTCCTATCAGCTCCTGGATGGAGCAGGTTTTCGTTGTAAAGCTCCACCAGATCTTAACGCAACGCTTCTGGCACCACTACGCGTTTACGATAGTGAAGCAATACAACCCCAAGACCAGGTAGTTGTGGACTGCTCGTAGCCACCTTCCCGTCTCTGTCGCTTTGCATATCGATGAAGGCAAAGCTCAATTTGGTGCACAAGCTTCTAGAAGACAGGTTCTAGAAGCTGTAGGAATTTGTGAGCTTCTAGAAGACAAGCTCTAGAAGCTGTAGGAATTCGTGGCGAGCTGCCACGGGCCCAGTTTAAGCTCTGCTAAGACGACACAATTCATTTTGCTTTTCTTATGTAAACTGGACCACAAAGTATACTTTCTGGACGCACCAGAAGCCGCAGCAACAAGGAGAGGCAGGGCCACCGCTGCAAAAAAACGCGTCGACCTGCACGGCGTGAAGCCTAGCATTATGAAAATGTCAACAGACGCAAATGGCGATGTTGCAATGACAGTGCCCCAGCCCGTTTTCGAAGCGATTCAACCGCCAAGTCTCATGGCCTGGGACCAGGCATCATTAGTTGCGTGGGTGCGGCAGCGACGACAATATGAAGCTAAGGTTCGCAATCGATGCGCCATTACGGGCGAGCGATTTGACCAAGTTGTCACCTCAATACGCAATTCTATCGAGCCACGAATTCTAGAGCACCTGGCGCGTTTCGTGTTGAAGAAAAAACCGGACTCAGTCACCGATGAAGATCTTGGACTTGCGATTACACGACGTTGCTCATCGCTACAAAACAGTCATATTCCTGATATAGATCAGCTTTTTGGCGACCGCCTCAAGATGGACTTGAGAATTGAAGATACCGAGGCGCGTATCTTGGACTACTTTGTGCTGTTCGACAAGATCGTCGAGGACCATGGATTAAATGGGATTTCGGGCAGTGGGAGTGAGAATGAACCCACGTACGGAGAGCGGATGAAGCTACGGTGCAAGACATTGTTGAAGTACGTGGCACTAGACATGCTTAAGCTGGGGATGGAGCGCCTGGCTATTGCTAAGCCGGTTCTCAAGAAAGATGATATTGCATTATATGAAGCTTTAGTTGAGCGCGCGCGTGAGCAGCAGCATTACCATCTGCTCTCACAAGAGCTAAGGATGACTGACAAGCCACGAGGGAATACGAACAGTAAGAAGACGTTCTCGACCTTCAAGCCACGGGTCATTCAGCAGCAAGGGCCGTCGGCAAACCGACTCTCAACTAAACCAGCACGAAAAGAGTTGGAGAAGTCCCGTATACCGCCACGCGATGGCTGTTTGGTGTGCAGTGGAGCTCATTGGGTCAAGGAATACCCGGTAGCTAGCGAGGCCGACAAGGAAGCGGCATTGCAGCGCATGAATGACATGAAAAACCAACGGCTGCGAGCAAAGGCTGTTTGTTCCATGGGCTTGCCAAGGGGGATCGTGCCGCAATTATGAATAATGTTCTTGAAGTGCCATTCCGAGCGGATACTGGTGCTGATTGCAACGTGATCACACGTCAGATTGTTCATGAGCTTCAAAAGCTGGACGCTGGTGTAAGCATAGTAAAACTTGCTACTCCTATCGAGGTGGAGGTGGCCGATGGTAGACTTGTACAATACTACGAGCAATGTGAAGTGGACGTGCAGCTGCTTACGGCTGCTGGTCCAGTGCATCTACGGCACGTAACCTGCGTGATTATTGATGGCGACACGGACGAGCTGTTAGTTGGCGATGTTACCCTTAAATCCTTGGGAATTGACGTGGATCAGCTTCTGGAGCAACTAGCAAGCAAATCCGGACTTAATTCGGATGGAGATGACTTACCTGACGATGATATTGATGGTCTGACGAATTCCGAGGAGATTGCGGGTTGTTTGGACACTCTTCTAGAAGCGGCGAAAGCTGCCGGATTTCCTCAGCACGCGATGGCTAAGTTGCATGAGGTGGTGATGGCCGGGGTTGATCAGTGGAGAACGAAGTTGGGGGCAGACCCACCAGCTAAGCTTGAGCCATTGCAAGTGGTGCTTGTCGAGGATGCAGTGCCTTTCCGGTCAAAGCCCCGGCAATACTCTCCAGCGAAAACGAAGTTCCTTACTGAGCATGGCAAACAGCTTAAGAAGTTCAAGCTTGTCTATCGCAGCAACCAAAGCCGCTGGGCGTGTGCAGCAGTCCCCGTGCGCAAGAAAGGACCCGAGGAAGAATATCGCTGTGCAAATGACTACCGCCCTACTAACCGACGCACCATTCCGATAGCCGGTGCTATGCCAAATCTGTTGGTGGTGATTGCGAAGGTCAAAGGCGCATGCTTCTTTGCTACGTTCGATCTATTTAAGGGATTTTGGCAGCTCTTGTTGCATCCAGACTGTCGAGAGTACTTCAGTTTTATCACTAGTGATACTGTGTATACCCCTACACGTGTTCCTCAGGGCGCAGCCGATTCTCCAATTCATTTCAGAATCAGATGCAGGAAGTCTTCCGTGACATGCTCTACGAGAATATTTTAATTTGGGTCGATGATATCGTCGTATTCGCGAAAACAGTGAAGGAATTTATCGCGGTGCTACGTAAGTTTTTTTCGCGTCTTCGGGAGTATGGTCTCAAGCTTAATGCCAAGAAAAGCTGTCTGTTTGCCAAAGAAATTACATGGTGCGGCCGCCGTATTGATGGCGAAGGCGTCCATCATGACCCTGAGCGGGTGACTGCATTGTGTGCACTACCCCTGCCTACGACCGCAGCGGCCTTGCAAAAGTTGTTGTGCGAAGCTAATTGTTTACGGGAGTCTATCATTGAATATGCCAAACATGCAGCTCCGCTGCAGTCGAAGTTGGATGCTGCGTTCGATGGTCGCAGCCGGAAGCAACGCTACGCAGAAGGCCTTGTGCTGGCGTGGACCCCTGCTGAGGAGCAGCAGTATCGTGATTTCTTGAATTGCGTGGCAACATCGACAAAGCTAGCGTTTCCTTCGGAGACGGCGACGGTGTGCGTCACCACAGACGCTAGCGACCGTGGTTGGTCTCTAATTGTTTCGCGAGTTGCTGAGTGGGATGATTCAAAGCGTTTGACGGATCAAGCGCATGAGCTGGTTATTTGCAAAGGCGGTATGTTTAAAGGGGCCCAGCTGCACTGGTCTATCGCTGAAAAGGAAGGTTACCCTATTGTGAAGGCTGCGAAAGACCTGGAGTACCTATTACTTCGCTCCACTGGGTTCAAACTGTTTTGCGATCATGCAAATTTGATTCAGATTTTTTGCCCACACACGGAAATTCGTAAGCACGTCCGTGGCAAGTTGCAGCGCTGGTCGCTGATACTTTTCGACTTTCGCTATGCGATTGAACATGTCAAGGGTTCTGATAATGTTTGGGCGGACTTAGTTTCACGTTGGCTACCTTTCGGGGATACCCAACCTGCCGCCGCGAAGACAGTTCGTACTCGTTCCTCACCAGTAGTGTCAACGAGCGGCTCCCGAGGCTGCAACCACCGACGACACCGGGCTCATTTTTGCGGAGGGCAAAATGTGGATCCCCACACAAATCAAGACCCTTACGACTCGCGTGCTCATTGTCGCGCACTGTGGTTTAAATGCATACCAAGGTGCCGATGTCATGTTGCGCCAGCTACAGACTAAATACTACATGAAGTCGTTGGGAAAACTCGTAAAGGATTTTGTCGCGAAGTGCTTTCTCTGTAAGCATGTCAAGGGAAGCCAGCTGATTCAACGACCGTGGGGTGAGCACCGAAATCCTGCAGCTCGTAACGAAGTGTTGCATTTTGATTTCTTGGCTATGGGGGATTCGTACGGAAGTACACGCTATTTACTCGTGTTGAAAGACGAATTAACCCACTTTTGCGAGTTGGTGCCTTGTGATTCTCCTACGAGCTCTGTGACGGCGGCTATATTGGATTGGGTTAAACGGTTCCGAATGCCAGCAATGTGGGAGTCAGACAACGGAACACATTTCAAGAAGATGCTGATGTATGAACTTCGAAGCAGGACGAAAGCGTTGCATACATTCGTGCCAGTGTACACACCTTGGGTGAATGGCACGGTCGAGCGATTGAGCCGCGACGTCTTACAAGTGATGCGTGTGCTCTTGTTAGAGTACCAGCAAGACACAAAGTGTAACGGGGTTACATGGTGTGGAGCACACAGGGGTACGAAGTACCCGGAGAGTTAACAAACTCTCAGTACATAAGTTGGAGAGTTAACAAGGTCTCTCAGTACGTTGGCTGAAAGCCACACGTTATGCATTTGATTAGGTTTAACTATGCTAGATAGTTAAAGAGATACATTTACCCTTAGGCGGCTTGGCCGCAATAATAGTAAATAAAAACACTTCTGGTTTTGAAGCATAAAAGTTAAGGTGTTAACTTTGAGCCCTGGTCTTGGGCTGTAAGTGTCCTTTGGATAAGGAACTTAGTATTAGTGACTCTTTGAGTCGAACGTCTTCCTCTGACGCTAAAGCTACGGCAGCCCCGCTGCACTTGGTAGCACTTGTAGTCAACCCCGCTCCTGAG